TTTTCAGTGTGAGGATACATGTGGAGGCTGATTCCATCAAACCATTATGAAGTAGCATGCCTGCTTATGGAAACCTAAGAAAGACATCTCTCCCCCAATCAGTAGTCTAAAAACAGTGGCAGTTCTGTAGAGCAGCTTGTTTCTAACACAGGCGAATCATTTCAGAGATATGATTTTATACCATGGGAGTAAATAGGATTTCCTACTGTGCTCAATTTGAAACTTGTACTGGAAGAGAACGATAAGAATACAATGAATGCTCCCTTTCTCAGAGTTAATGGTGTTATTACTTTTGATTCACCATGCAAGCTTCTTACAGGCATCCAATTCCAATGGTGTGCACTTACAAAAAAAGTCATGCTGCATTCAAGCACCCATCAAGCTATTGCCATAAACAATTGTGGAAGTAGATGCCTAAGAGAGTATAGAAGAACATAAGTAAGTTGAAAATCTCTTGCATTTCCTGAGCTATGACCTTTTCTTTCAACAATATTGTCACCTAACTCTAATGTCCCTTGGTCTCAGGGCTGCCAGCCAACAACCGTGCACTCACAAACAGGTCTGTTGAGGCAGTGTATTTTACTCTAAGAATAGATAGTCACAAGGAAAGGCATTTTAAAGTTAAAGGGCTGTTTAACATTCCATAGGATTAACATAAAATAAGAAAATGTGTGAAAAATAACAAAGGAGGAGATGGTTAAAGATTTTACCTCACTTCCTTTCCTATCTAGTTATTTTTAACCTCTTCTATGATCTCATACTCATCGAGGTATTGGGGTGGTCTGAGAAGAAAGCAATGTTGCCTTGAAGTTACTTTTTTTGTCCTTTCCTTAGCCTGTTCCACCACATTTACCAACCCAATACTTTTCTCACCTTTGAAATAAAAGATTCTGGTTTTGCATCTTGACATAATTTATATTAAAGATTATATTATTCAAAATGTCTATAGCACATAGTCATTAATTATTGTTTCTTTACTTATCAATAGAAATGAAACTTTTGACACAACATTTTACCCTATATCTCAGCACTTCTTTATCTGACATTTTAAAATATTTTCTCTCCCAATTTTCCCTCATGCTTAATAAAGGATCATGATTTTTCTGTAAGGACATCATTGTTGTCTCTTCAGCCTTCAAATCTAAGGAGTGTCCAGGAGCAGTCTCAGTATCCACCTCATCCCAAGATTATGGACATTCCCTGGACTTCTAACTTGCCTCTGGGTGCAAAAATGCATTTGGCTCTTTACAACTAATTTGATAACAGTACTTTTTTATGAAGGCTAAGGCTGACTGTGTAACTACTTTGTTTCATAAAGCAAAAAATCCAGAATCTTAATCATTTCATCAGATGTCTCTCATTGTGCACATATTCTTCCTTGGAAGGTTATCTCTATCTTTTATATTGATGTTTCAATTTTGCATAAGTAGAGAAGAGAGTGGAATATATACCATGCATTTGCATTTGAAACTTCAAGTTTTATCTAACAGACAATACAATTCACCTCTCTATCTCATTATTTAAGTTTCTATTCTCTAATTCATAGGGAATTACCATTCAAATTGTAATGAAAAGTCTTGTCTATACATTTCTTAAAACAAACATACAAGCCATGAGCAGTCATAACTAGCTCCTGAAAACTGATATTTCTTTTCTCCATTACCTTTGCCTCATCTAAGCTTTTCTGCCTTTTCAGTGTACTTTACCTGAGACAGCACTTCTAACTTTTCCCTTCCTGACAACTACCTGTTATTTTCATGATAGTATTATTAGTAAAATATCTTATAGTTCCTCTTGTACTGCATCAATGACCATAATATCTTTTAACTGGTAATTTTTTCTCAATATCATGTGTCCTTTTTTGCTATGGAATAATATTTTGAAGAGCCTAAAACTACTGCATGATTAATATCATGCATCCAGTACCTTACCTTTCAGTGAGACAGGAAGATCTTAAGATTTACATCTTTCATAAATTTGCTCTGAAGAGGATCAATTATATTCCTTTTATTTAGTCTCATTAAAGTTTCTTTTGCATCCCTAACACATTTCATAGAGATTCTCATCTAGGTTTTTCAAAGCTTAATCACCTTCTCCCTGCTGATAAACATATTGCCATTTAATGACATATTTAATTCCCTTCTGCACCTCCTTTTAACAAATTCACAATAAAGTACATCAATGATATATTGTTCTTTCTAATGAATGTGTCAGTAGTCAAAATAGTTTCTTCAATGACTTAATGCTTTATTTCGTATTCCCTTTTTAAGAGATTTGTTATGTCCTTACCTTACATCCTTTTTGCCCCAAGCAATAAGGCTCCTCTCATAGAAAGGTAAAAAAACTGATGGGGAACTCAAAAAATGGGTGCTTTCCTTGAACAGCATGTATTCCTTCATGAGACTACTTAGTTTCTCTCATTTTGTCCATTCAGATATTATTTTAATTATTTTATATGAATGTTATATATTTTAAAGTTCTAATAGTGTTTTGGTCACACTCATATTACTATATCCTCCAGTATTTCCCTCAGCTTTCCATTTTTAATAACAAGCAATTAATTCTCCAACATCTCAATACATTTACAATAAAAAACACTTGTCTGTATTCTCTTCCAACTGTATTGTCCCATATATTCTTCTATATTGAAACAATTTTTAATGTCACATCTTCTGCAAATACTCACTGAGAAAATCTCTGTTCTACCCTCCAAGTGGTGGTGCTTTTGCTTCTTGCAAGTAATCAGAGGGTTGCTCTATAGTAAGAGTGTGCATGGATGCATGTATGTGTGTGTGTATACAAAGGTTGCACAAAACTTTCTACTAAGCTGAAGGAATGCTATGAATATTCCCCTACACCAGTCCAACACGATCCAGGTATTTTTGTCCCTGGCTTCTTTCATTCCTCATTCTTTATTCTCAAACACCAAAGATTATACTTATACTGTTAGATCTTAAGTACTCAGTCCAAAATTTGGTCAATCAACTGAATAAATGGGCTCTATAAAATGCCTATATAAGGAGTAAATCAATAGGAGTAAATCATGAGTTCTTAATCAGTAAAAACAGAAACCACCAATACTCAGGTGAACTTCAAGTAAAACTATGGGAAAAAAATGCTGTTAGAAAGCAACTGTCATGGTGTGTGTGAACCGACAACCTGTAATCTCACTCTTCCTAATATTCACAAAGATGACTGTATAGCCTTAATAATGTTTTTACTGCATCATTTTTAACTTCCCTGACCCTTAGAAAAGAAAGATATCCAAATTATGGAACACGTAACAGCCAAAGTCAAGCAGAGCTGTAAGAAACACTGAACTCTGGGAATGTAGGAGATTGTTTTGTTCAAACCACCCGGAATTGAGTGGAACTTTTTTTTTTTTAAATAATGTACAGTAATTTATATAAATACATGTAAGTAATAAAGAAATTAATTATTCCAGAAAAACAAATTCCTAAGCTAAAAATACAACTTTTCTTTGAGAAAAATCACATAATTGCTGACATTATAGCATCAGTTGAATTAAGTTATATGGTTTTACCAAAGGCCAAATTGAGGCAAAGTTAGGCTCAACTGACCTAATTAGTTTAGATAGTCAGAAAATGCCTGCTAGTTCCAGATCCTGTTCTGCAGAGAATATGTGTTATGTTTTCTAACATATATAGACATTAGAAATACATACTTGCATCACAGAAGTACTTATATGATGTATATAACATAGAATCATATATACACATATATATTATGTATAATAAATCATCAAGGTTACAGTGCTATGGCATTGGAAATGCTGCAGTAACATCAGTATTTTCTTCTTTTATAGCAAATTTACTAAAATACAATGTAATTGTTACTACTGGGTAATTATACAATGCATTAATTGTAAAACAAAAAAAGAAAAGTTACTTTAAAGTGAAGTGTTCATTGAAATGTGTTAAGCAAATAGAAAACAATGACTAAAGATGACTCCTGAGTGACACAAAAGATATTCCAGACATGTAAAACATTACATTCAATTACTTAAATTTACTGTCCATTTAGGGAAATTTACAAGTTCAGGTACAGTATTATACCTAACTAATCCTGTTTTACCCATAACTGATTATATAATTAAATATGCATAATAATATTAGTACATTAAATTCCTTAATACTAAATTATAAATAGATGAAAATAGCAGAGTTATAAGAGTTACTTTTATAGTCATACTAAATTATAAGTAGTATGACTATCAGTTTAAAAAGAAATAGGAATTAAAATACTCTGTTTCTAGTGTATCTATGTTAAAGTTTGTTGTATGGTAATAGAGAAACAGGATATAGAACAGTTGATTTCACTTTATCTTCATTTAGTTAGTTTTGTGAAACAGCTATTGCTTACTATATTTCACTACTTTGCTACTATTCAGTAGGTGCCCAAGAAGCTAGAGTTGCTGGCAGTCTGCTTAGCTTCAATACGTCTACCAGGTCAATAAGGTCCAGTTCTGCTGCAGGTTTTAGTGTTAAAAAAAAAAAAAAAAAAGTTTCCCTAGGTTGTGTTTCTTCCGAGATGCTTCAGTTCCCCATAAATGCTCAAATGCTCTTTCTTTATACTCCTCCAGGCCAAATCAATCCCCTCTCTCATACTCTCTAAACTCACTCAACAGCTCATACATCTAGCCCTATTGGGCTCTACTCAGCCTTCAAGTCTATATGTTCCATTTTTCTGTTCATGTCAGACTCATGAAAATAGTTCACAAAGGTACCACAACATTCAGTCATTTGATATTAACAATGTGTGCAACATGCAGGAATAAGTACAAAGATGGGCTATCACTTATATACTTTTCTAAGTGAAAATAGCAAACTATCAGTCTGCCTTCATGTCCATTAAAGCAGTTCATAATTTGCAGTCATTTGGCTTCCTGTCTGTTACAAGAAAATCTGGAGAAAAATGAATAAAAGAGATGCAGAGACAGATCAAGGAGAATGATCAGAGAGTAAGAAGAAAGGACTCACCTCTTTTAGTCAGTTTTCCATTTTAGTTTGTTTCAATAGTTAAAGAGGGAAGAGATTTTTTGCACACTCTTTAATTCAGATGTCAGTTTCAATATTTGATGCTTGACTGTTCTGAAATATAATCAAAGTGCAGCAGTTAAAACTACTAGCCTGAAACAAGATAAAATTGTTAACATGGCAAGCAGCTACATATTCATTAAAAATCACAGCAGTGCTGAAAGGCTTTTATATCAGTGCTCGGTGGCAAAATTTTTACATGGTACCAGCCCTCCTTGCAACACAAAAAGCACACAAAAAAGAATATTTATAATGTATAATGCTGCATTTGTGGTGCCACCTCACATTTTGCTTTCCTTGCACTTTGAACACTTTGTTGACTCTTCTACAGAAAAAGACAAGGCTAGTTACATGTGTTTGCCTCAGAAAATGTGACTTTCTGTAAGCATGCTTCTCCCCTGACCTCTTCCTTCTACAGACTTTTCTCATACTACAAAAGCACCAAGGAATCCTATTGCCTCTGCCTGGAAAAGCAACAGAGAATGGTGACCAAACAATCAACAGGCTGCAGCTATATACATGGTACTGCCCTGCAAGCATCCTATGTGTGGCTGACAAAATTGCAACAGTAAGTCACTGCACTTAAAAATATATTACTTTTTTAAATTATATAAATAGAGAATATTTATTTCCAAGCCATTTTCTTTCTTTGGTAAGGAAATTGATATAAGTATCTTTCCCTTCTTAGTTCTCCAGTACTACTCATTGAGACTAACAGAAATAAATGGCTTTCCTCTGTGTTCTGTATTTGAGTTTTATGAGTCATATCACTATTCCAAGTTTTCTCATTCCTTTAGGATCTACCTATCTTATTATTTTCTGTTTGTTCATTTCTTCTTCTTTCTCTCTTTCTCTCTTTCTTTCTTTCTTTCTCTCTTTCTTTCTTTCTTTCTTTCTTTCTTTCTTTCTTTCTTTCTTTCTTTCTTTCTTTCTTTCTTTCTTTCTTTCTTTCTTTCTTTCTTTCTTTCATGTGAACAATTCATAAGTAAAAGACAGAATAAGCACAAACAACTTTTCTTGTAAATGCAGTGAAAAGCACCAATCTTTTACTAGAAAGTAAAATAAAAGAGAGAGAAAGGAGAAAAAATGCATTACTAAGTGTGGCATTGACACGACTATGCTGAAATGTGATGAATACAACAACTTATTCAACATATCAAAAGCTACTAGTTATTTTACACTCTTGATGCTCATTCAAAACATCTGTAAACACCTTTACACAGACCAAAGCTCACCACTGCACACTGCTTGCTAGAAAAACAAGTAAAAATTTTCAGAGTAAAAATAACCTGTCAAATATTATAAACTCAAATATTATAAAGCCAGAAAAGATCAACCTGATCAGAAACTGTGATATCCCACTTCCCACAGTCCAGAAAGCTTTCTTAAGTCAACTCATTTGGAAATCATAGAATCATAGAGTGGTTTGAGTTGGAAGTGACTTTAAAGATCACCTTGTTCCAACCCCCCTCCCACGGACAGGGATGCCACCCACTAGATCAGGTTGCCCAGGGATGCACACCATAGAAAAACATCAAGCTTTAATTGAAGTTTTTCCAAGTAATCACTAAGAGGACAGGATAAACAACCTCTATACAAAAGATAGGTTTATTCCTAGGGATACATTAACCTCAAAAGCAGTAAATGATGATGAAGACTGCAACCTGGCTTTTGCTGCTTTTTTGCTGCTGTCTTTTATTTACCATAACACCCATTTCCAAGATGAACTAATTCCTGATGCTGGTTCAGTAAGTCTGCAATTTACGTCTGAATAGAAACACGTTCCACCAATGATAACACATTCTACATAACTGGCTTTGGGGGAAGCCAATACCTTGAGATATATAACCATTTTCTGTACATTTCTTTATAATTCTAAAGCTAACTTTCACAGAATCACAGAATTGTCTAGGTTGGAAGAGACCTCAAGATCATCAAGTTCAACCTCTGACCTAACACTAACAAGTCCTCCACTAAACCATATTGCTAAGAAAACTTTCTAGTTATCTCCAGCAAGTCTGCCTTTAAGCCATTTTTCTTTCTATGCTGTGTAGGTTTGCATGTTAGAAGGGGAAGAAAAATATGTTTAAAGCAGGAAAACGTGATGGTAAAAGCAGAAAGAGTGGCAGTGGTATAAAAAGAGAGGTAGATAACCAGAAGTTACTTTTAAATCACTTCAGAAATGCATTGATTTCCAGTTGACAGAATTATCTTTTGGGAGAGGGCTTTAATTTGACTATGTTATTGACTACATCATAACTATTTTAGATTTTCCTTGAGAGTATAAAATTGACAGAGTATATTTAATTGTAACAAATAAACTGGATTGATTTTTCCATAAAAGGTCTCCTAAGGGAGCTTTCTAAGATAGACCTCTAAAGAATCAAATCAGTCAAGTGTTTATGCAGTGCCTTCTGTTGTAAGGACTCCTCTGAACCCATTGAAACTCCTGTGTTTGAAGGTGTTTGCTTGAGAACCTTGATGAAACTGGATCAAATGGATTTCTCTTGTCTGGCAACATTCTCTTGGGTTAAGTGAAATTTTAACTTGCCAGATATATTTAGTGTTGATAGAAAAAATGAAGCCAAGAAATGTAAAGGAATCACCTGCATTACACAGGCGTTATCCATACTGTCATACTGTGAGCTGCTGCCTAACCTGTAAAAGAAGGGGCAAAATGTAAGAAGTTTCTGCAAATACACATGTATTCTAAATATATGATACAGTTTTCAGACATGGACATGGATTACTTTATTTCTGTAAAACATGTGGCACTATCCAAGTCTACAGCCCAAGTTTAATCAATATTGCTTTAATAGTTCAAAACTGCTGAATTCTTCATCTCACTTGCTATTGATCCTTCTTATTTGTGTAAGCTCATACATGCTAGTCTTCCCTATCCCTGTTCCCAATTGCTTTCTTTGTAAATCAGAAATAAATCAGAAAAGTTGCACAGAAGAGCAAGATGATGGAAGGTACAGAGTGACTCCTGCACAAGGGACAAACAAGTAAGGTAAGACTGTTCAGGCTGCTCAGGGAACTATTCAGCAAGGTCCCCTGGGAAACTGCTTTTGAAGGCATTGGCGTCCATCAGTGCTGGTCAATCTTTAAGCACTGCCTCCTAAAAGCACAAGATCAGGCAATTCCAAAATATCAGAAGTCAGTCAGGCAGGGAAGAAGGCCAGCCTGGCTGACCAGGGATCTTCTACTGGAGCTTAGGCAAAAAAAGGAAGTGTACGACTGCTGGAAGAAGGGTCAGGTGATGAGGAAGGAATACAGGTATGCTGTTCGTTTTTGTAGGGAGAAAATTTGTGTGGCCAAAGCCCAACTAAAGTTGAAGCTGGCCACGTCTATGGGAGACAATAAAAAAGACTTTTTTTAGATATGTGAACAGAAAAAGGAGGACCAAAGAAAAAATAGGTTTGCTACTTGATGGGAAAGGACTCCTCACATGAAATGACATAGGCAAAGCAGAGACATTTAATGCCTTCTTCGCCTCTGTCTTCAACACTGATGATGGGGTTCATGACCCAGGGTGCCCTGAGCTGGAGGACCATGATGGTGGGAATGACAAACTCCCAACCGACCCTAAACGTGTGTGGAATTTGCTGCTCTGTCTGGATCCATACAAATCCATGGGTCTGGATGGGATTCATCCCAGGGTGCTTAAAGAGCTGGCTGATGTCATCACGGGCCCTCTCTCAATTGTTTTTCAACAATTTTGGGAATCTGGAGAGGTCCCAGTAGACTGGAAGCTGGCAAATGTCATACCAATTTTCAAGAAGGGTAAAAAAGAAGACCCTAGCAATTACAGGCCTTTCAGTCTCACGTCAGTGCCTGGTAAAATTATGAAGAAGATGATTCTTGAAGTTATTGAAGTGCACCTGGGGGACAATGCGGTCATTGGTCCCAGCCAACATGGGTTAATGAGGGGTATGTCCAATCCATGTGCAGCCAGGTTCTTCAGCAGAATTTTGTTGGAAACTACTAAAACTTTTAGTAAAATTCAGGTAGAAAATATCCATGGCCATTACCTCATCTGCTAAGTGGATCTTGTCATAGAAGGAGACCAGGTTAGTCTGAAGGCAGGACGTGCCCTTCATATATGCATACTGATGTTTAACAGAAGTGCAGAAGTTCAAACTGTAGGCTATCTGATCAGTGCTGACTTTTTATTTATTTATTTATTTATTTCTAATAAGGGGACATAATGAATTGACTTTTCACTCAACTCAGGTTTGACCTGAAATTGCTTTAAAGCATACAGTCACCACCATAGCAGGAATTAGACTCATCTTAAAACCCTGAGTTTCTGGTTCAATTTCAGCACACAACAGTGACTCATTTACCTAGCTATTGTAGACCAGAACATTTGCAAAAAGCAGGTTGACTAAAACCAGGTTTTAGGTGACAAATAATAATTTAACTGCCACTATCTTGTTTTAGCTAGGCTTGGTCAGAAAGACACCTGGAAAAGGACAGAGAAGAACAGCAACAAAGATGAACATGGAGTAGGTGTCCAGGAAGGCTGTGGTATCTCCATCCTGAGAGATCCTGAAAGCTCATTTGAACAACACACTCAGCAACTTGATCTAATTTTGACACTAGCCCTGCTTGAGTGGGGGCTTCAGCTCGATGACCCCCTGTGAATCTTATGCAAACGATTCTGTGATTCTATAATTCTAGGAAACAGCCTCTAATCATTTCTGTACTACTTCTGTGCAGAATATCAATTTACAATGCTACCATTATTGTTAACCTAAATACCAGTGCAAAAATGAAGCTTGGGCCTTCAACTTTTTATTACATAGTAAGCTACTTAGTTTCTTTCCTACATGATGGATCTTTATATTCCTAGGTTTCTGCTGTCATGAACTATTTTTAATTAACAAGGATATACTGTAAAGGAGATAAACCAATTTTTTATTTTTTACCTGATTATTTTGTTGCCTTTTTTTTTTTTTTTTTTTTTTTTTTCAATTCTGTTATTTTTATTAAGTAATCCACACTGACAGAATGACAATGTTACTAGCAATTTTTCTACAAGAAAGATC